AAGGGGCACAAACAAACAAACAGGAGACTGGCCCTAATCCACAAAAGTTGTCGCTGCGTAATTTAAAGTTATTTAGCATTCTACTAAGGAACAGCCAAATTAACTACGGCCATAACAATCTTCCAAGAGGTAGATGAGGGGAGCTACCAGAATAATTTTTTTTTTCAAGTTGAAAAACTTTTTTCAGAGAAAGCTCTAGCATTGGGTCTAAACAGGAGTTCTGGTATTGATTGTAATAAAATATCTGCTGTAAACGAAGAAAGGAATTGCTCGTACAGATAGTGGATGCAACTATTCTGAAACCCCTTTTCAGATAGATTTAATTCACAATTTGTATTTTAATATCTATGGCAAATTCTTGTCTATTTCTTTTCAGTTTATCAGATCTACACATTATAAAAAGCAAGAATAAACTCCTCCCAGAAGCCTTTTTTGTACGGTTTAAACCATCTGGTATGTGAACAGATACAAACAAAACAAACCAGGTCGTAAGGGAAATTTCTGAGCACCAAAAATGTCCTTCTAAAGTTGTTGGATATATCAGGTATTATTACATTTGAGAAAAATTTAAACATTAAAACAAGCTATAATGCGGCAATGTCCAGCCTAACCAAAAAAAAAAAAAAAAACACTTTCCACCGTACCACAGTACCACAGCCATTTCCCTCTGCAAGATTCTGGAATCAGCAGCGTTTTATCACTTGTTTTTTTTTGTTTTTTTTTTTTTTTTAAATGAAATGTATTTAAGTTTAGATTAATAGGAATGGGAGGGTGGTCTGGCAGATAAAAAGTTGGTCTCTGATTTGGTCATGGAAAGAATGAGGACCCACCCACCTGTTTCCTCTTTTAGGTCCTGGAAGAACTTCTGATTGAAGATGAAAGCAACACCGCTGATTTCTTCTACCTTAGCTTCTGCAGTTGTATTTCTGTTTATAAAATTGGCAGTGATAGCTATAGCCAACTTTCCACGAAACTCCTTCCTCCTAAAACCTGGTAAGCAAAGAAAAGAAAGAATTAAAAACACAAGAAACTTTTCATGCCCAGCTCTGAGTCTGCTCAAGGCAATGCAGTCTCTTTCCCAAGTTCAGGTGTGCCCTTTGCCAACACACAATCACAAATTCCTTCTTTCCTCCAAAACTCCCCCTGAATGCAAAGAGGCTTTGTGTTTCTCCCTCTCAGCTGCAAAGGGGAGCTGTACTGCACTCACGATAAAAGTATCTGGAGGGGAACTGCCTGAACATGAGAAGTAGTTAAGGACAAACGATGACTGAAGGAAAAGGATGGGAAATAGTGCAGACGAAATCTAATGGAGGGACACACTTTTAACACACTACTTTGCAAATAAGGGATTTTTGGTACACGGGTGACAAAAGGTTTCTGAAAAAACATGCAAGAGATCAGCAGTCAAAAGCAGCAGAGAAAAATCTGAAAAACAAAAACCTGTACAACAGTGCTAGGTGCACACACTAACGATGTTTTCCAGAGATTTTGAGGGTCTGAAAAACGTTCAGCGGGTTAACTGTTATGCTTCCAATGTGAAATTGACACAGGTCAGCATGCTAAATCACTTGCTCTCTCATGCCATCCCAGCTTCCTTTTCTTCCCCCACAAAAATGGCATGCTATACCCACAGTCTAGCAATCACACATTTAAGTTCTTTCCCTCTATGTATTCTCCTTATACTTAAATAAAAACTGAAGAAAGATCTTAAGAGTCCCTAAGTCTTTAGAGTGTTTTTAATCAATCGTAGATGACTTTCAGAGAACACATGGATTTCTAAGAAATGAATCAGCCATGAATTTTTCTATCTGTTTCTTGAAACGTTCTAGCTAGTGAGGTGAGCTTCAGCCTCATTTCATTTTCATGTTTTAACATGAAAATATCAGCTTCTGTACGTAAACAGTCCTCAGCCCACCGAATATTCCCTTAGACCCTGGCATTATAATAAACACCTCAACAGAGTCTGCAGCCAAGGTAAGAGTAATTTTGTTTTAATTGATGTCTGGCTACTTAAGTAGTCTGACAGTAGCAAGGAGAATTTTCTAATGAAAGCATTATAAGGAATTAATACAAAGTATATCATGTTTGGCAGAGAGAAGAATAAGTAGACACAAACTATGAAGCTAATAAAAAGGGAAACGGGTTATTTAGTGAACTGAAACTAAGATGAATATACCTAAAGCTACAAGGGGAAAATGGAATCAAGCAGCAGGTTTGTTCCCACAACACAGAAGCGGCTAAGCCAGCGCTGCGCCTGTCAAGCATCTTGGGCCATCAGACTTCTCTGCAATGGCTCACAGAATTCACAGAATGGCCAAGGTTGGAAGGGACCCTCTGGAGATCATCTAGTCCAACCTCCCTGCTCAAGCAGCGACCTCTAGAGCATATTGCCCAGGATCACGTCCAGGAAAGTTTTGAATAGCTCCAGCGAAGGAGACTCCACTACCTCTCTGGGCAACCTGTGCCAGTGCTCTGTCACCCTCACAGTGAAGAAGTTTTTCCTCAGGTTCAGATGGACCTGCCTCTGGTCCTGTCGCTGGGCACCACGGAGAAAAGACTGGCCCCATCCTCTTGACACGCCCCCTTCAGATACTTGTACACACTGATAAGATCACATCTCAGTCTTTCTCCTCTCCAGGCTAAACAGGCCCAGCTCTCTCAGCCTTTCTTCAGAGGAGAGATGCTCCAGTCCCCTCATCATCTTTGTAGCCCTCCAGCGGACTCTCTCCAGTAGTGCCATGTCTCTCTTGTACTGGGGAGCCCAGAATTGGGCACAGAACTGGCTCCAGCTGATGAAGCAGGATTTTTTCCCGTATTATCTTCTGGAATTGTTACAAAAGTAACTGCTTCTCAAATGAATCACCATTGTTCAAGAGCAATACCTCTAATGCCTTCATTAAATACCTGGCAGTCACCTTTTGGTCATGAGTTCAGACACACAGCCCAAACTTGTGGCACAATAGCAAAGAATGTGCTGTTCCTGACATGTCTCTTGCCAGTTCCCTTCGAGTTAAATCTTCATGTTATTACTTAACCTTGAAGTAAGCCTAAGGGTACCACAATGCATTTTGGAGGCAATGGAGATAGATACCGTGCTGCGAATCAGTAATGGCATTAAGTGTCTTTATTTTGAGCTACAACTTAACAATAAAAGTAGAAGACATCACATAAAAAATAGTTTCCACACAGACTTCTGTGGAGTGAAAGGCAGCCTTTTTTTGTTCTCGCCTGGCTTTCAGGGAGGGAAAAGCCAAAGACCATTATTGCCCTAAAGACCATTATTAAGGCTAAAAGTACACATTCACCTACCTTCTAATGTGTTTCTGCGGCCATCTGCACCGATAATAACATCGAACTCAAACTCTGACAGAGGGTGATCCACTGGGAGAAATTCAGCCCTCCAACCTATCTCTAAAAACACAAAGAAGAATATTTATTTATTCTTCAGGAATACAATGAAGAAGTACGTTCAGAGTCTGAAGAAAGGGCATTAGGGTAAACAGCCAATTTCTCATTCAAACTGAGCTGAATTCTGTCTCAGATTGATGGAGGGAAATTCTGCTGGAGTCAAAGCTACATGCAGACCATATTAGCAAGGCATTAAGCTTATAAGCTGACAACAAAAAAGGGAAGCCTTCATTTGGATCACCTAATGCACTACATTTCCTCTAAGACCCATATGACAAGAATATACTTAAGCACTTCATTCTTACAGAAATAGCCCCACAATGACCTTAACAGGACAGTGCATGCATTTACAGCAAGGAAACACTGGGTTTTGTAAGAGGAAAAATACTATTGCATCGTCAATACTTTTAAAGTCCATCTTCTAAATAAAAAGTGTACCCATAAGGTGAAATTTAGTTTTTCCATTAACACAAAATGGATTATCTGAACATGTTTGTAATGCCCATATTTATAAACTATATTTGTGCTTTAATTACTTATAATATACTTAGCCTACTGTTACTACAAGAAATAACATACTATTTTAATATTCAAAATATTCTATTACTACTATTCCCCAAATACTAATCCTGAAAAAAAACAGAAAATAAATCTTTATCTATTTTATATAAGAATCTTGCAAAAGATAGCTGGTAAGACTCCACGTGCCAGTGGGAGTTTTATCAAGTATAAAAGCAAAATGAGGTACAGAAGGCTTAAAAATCTATCTTCAATATTTATATTATCAATCAAAAATTGTTTTTGCAAGAAGATACCAAGAAGCCACACCAGACTCCCTACAAAGCCTCAAACACATGCCAGAAGGCAGAGTGCAAAACCTCTACTTCTCAGACCAGGGTGTTTTCTTTTAAGTATTATCAGTGCACTGTCACAATGATACTTATCATGCCTATGATTTAGCAAACCTTGCTTAATAAGGGCAAAAGGCTCCCATTTTTTAAACATAATTCAAATAACTACGAATCATTTCATTTAAGGCCTGGAACAAAAAGAAGTTACTGTGTACAGAAAGGCATTTAAGATAGCTTAAGAAACAACAACAACAACAACAACAACAAAATCTCTCTTTTTCACATTATGATAAAGAGTACTTTGGTTTTCTTGATCTTCAGGAGGTTCCACGACTTTCACAAATTCTAGATTCACGTGGATTTCAACTCCTAGCATAAGTGCAACTTTGAAGAGGATAAGTTGAAGCTGTCGAATACCTGCGGACAGTAAAAAAAAAAAAAAAAGACATATTTAATACAAAAGCAAGCACAGCTGTTACCAACCCACCACCCAACCGATACCCAGTGTTAACAAAAACAGGTCGTGTGATTATTTCCTGTACTGCGATGAATGCAAACGCAGCAACCAACACAGGATGTTGTTCTCTTCTGTCTCATTTTCCCTTTGCAGCACATAATCTCATAGGTGACAAAACTTATTTCAGTGACTTTCTTAGAATTTTTTTTGGAGCTTTCCTTTTTAATGATATTTAAACCATCTGCATGCCCAACATTTTAGGACAGAAACTTCTTCTCGGTGTGCAAAAATCATTTCCTTGCATATTATCAAACTTGTGCATATTTTCTCATTAGATTAAAAGTTGTATCTACCTTTAAGGTGCTATAACGAATACTAAGATTCTTCATAAAGCTGCAATGAAAACTTTTTTTTTTTTTAAGAAGCCTAGATTAACAAAAAAGCTGAAAAAGTGTTCCTAAATACCATTTGATGCTCTTATGTCATTTGCCCAATTGATGTTTTGCTTAAATGAGGGATACCACCTTTTTTGTATTTTGTGCAATGCAAATGAACTTGCTGCCAAGTCAAGAAAGTCCCCATTAAACCTTTGACGTCTCTGCTGCTCTCGACTGAGCAGTGCCCATGCCCTCCAGATACTTACTGATGTGATCAATGGATCCTGCACAGAATTTCCCATAAAACTTCTTTGCTCCCAGTCCCCGGAGGTCATGGATTGTAAAGGGCCAAAGATGCAAAACATTGTTTCGTGAAAAGGTATCCCGCTTCTCCACCACCACCACTTTGGCTCCCAGCAGGGCAAGCTCTATGGCAGTCCGCAAACCACATGGGCCACCGCCAATAATTAAACACTATTAGAGAAAAGAGAGTTTTTTACATAGAGTTTGGTATTGATTTCCTCATAATTTCCAACTTATTCTATCAGTATGACTCGATATGCTCCTCGACTTACGCTACTGAGAGCATATTCAGGTAAACTATTACAAATCAAAAAACAAATAATAAACATTCGAATTTTGTTTGCTGTGTGGTGTTCAGTCATTTTGTAACAGAGGATAACTTACGTTTCACACAGACATAAAAGTATCTGCTAAAAAGATGTAACAGGAATCAAATCTATGATAAGCTAGTACTCTTACAATACTAGTTACTGTTTTCTTCAACTTAGGGCACACGCTGAATATCATAGCCTCTCTCACCTACTGCTATAAAGCCGTAAGTTTTCACAGGCTAAAAGGCAAAGGATTGCCAGAAAACAAACAAATCAAACTGAAATCCAAAACCTCAAACATATCTAATGTTTACATTTTCCTGACTGATTAGTAGAAACTGATTAGAAACATTTATTGCAGCTCACCGCCAGCCCCCCCCCACCCCAGATACGCTCCTCTGCCTCTCTCGCACGCAGCCAGACAGCGATTATAGTTTCGAACCAAGTACCAACCGCAACCCAGAGCTCACGGGATGCAAGCCTGGCTCTCTTTACATTTCTCTTTTGTAGAGTCATTTATTTATTTTGGTTTGTTCATTCATTTTCAACTTCAGCATCTTAAGTAAAAATTATCTGGCACTGACTTCTATCCAACTCAATCATAGAAGTGCGAATTGTTTTTAATTGAATAATGTAACGAATTCCAAAGAAAACAGTGAAATTTTCACTGAAAGAAAAGCTCTTGTGAAGTGCTCTTGCTTTAAGTGTTTTGTTGACTAAAGATATTAAATAATTTAAAGCTAGCTTGTCACTTTAGCCATGTCCTCTGCTTTCTTCCTCCTGAAAGAACACATTTAATCCAGAATTTCAGAACAGTCCTCACTGCATGCTAAATACTAGGAAAACATCAGCAGATGTAATTATATACAGGAAGCAAACAGTGTGCAGATGTTGTCCTGACTGAGGAGCAGAACTACTGGCAGGGACTGGGTCAGCTCTTTTCTGCACATACTTGTTATGATTAACATGGGAACTCCGTGTTCGGACAAGTAAGGGACTGCCTTTACAGCTACACAGTTCTCCAGTAATGTTTAGCAAGTGGTTAGAAACGTTTTACAAATAAAGACCATACATGGTTTGACAAGTTTTTGGGGGTTTTTTTTGGCTAACAAATTGTATTATATATAAATAAATGCAACATTTTTAAAAAAGCAGTCTTTTGAGATTTAGTCATAAGGGACCTTGCCAAGTAATAAAACCCACACAGAAAACATTGCTAGCTCCTCCTGGTACTCTGCAACAAAGTATGTTAAAATTTTAACAAAGATGCAGCTCTCTCCCCTCCTCCTATCACCATTGACAAAATATCTTCCCGATTGCCTAGAGACACAGTGAAAAATTGCTGTATATTTGCTATCATCCATGGTTACCTTCCGTAAACATATTTATCTATGTCTTGGAACCACTTTTCTTCGATTTATTAAAGACACTTCCCGCTGATGCAGAGCTTACTCTTGGCACGCTGTCACCATTTTTGAAACTTCTGGGGTCAAAACTGGCACAAAACCATTGCAAAAGTAATTCCTACTGCGTTTAGGTTCCTACCTTTATTGAGTAACGAAGGAGACAGCAGCCCTGTCCTCCCTCTGCCCTCCCTACCCAGCTCTCCACTTGCATACAAAGTTATATAGAGACGCTGTCTCGTCGCCATTCTAGAAAGAGCCTGGAATAACTTTACATTTCACCTCCTGATACCCCAGTCTTCTGGCTCCCCAGGGTTGCATTTGCAATTAATTTCTTGCAATTTAACACAGAGCAGCCTTCTGCTCGATGGCAGACACCACATAAGCAACCCTGGAAGCATCGGTCTCCCGAGACTAACAAAGGACATTGGACAAATCCCAGCAGCTCCTAACACCTCCATCGCCATTCACAGCTCAACTGCCTCAACCTTGCCAGATCTTTACTCTAAAAGGTAAAGGCTAACTTGACTTTTCAGAGTGCCTTGCACAAGTTAAACAAAGTAAGAGCTGCTGATTAGGGATGATGAGGAGCTTTTGCATCTTTCCCGTCCAAGTGGGAGTCAAAGGGAGGAAGCTGCGTGCACGTGCCAGGGCACCTTTTCCAAGAACAAGGTTACAGCCAGACTTCTGTGACCTGCCTGAAGAAACACCGGGATGGCATCAGATGTTATATACTGTTTTATTACTGAGAGCATATCATGGCTAGTGCAAGATACCAACACAGGCAGAAGACGTTTTCCTCAGTAAAAGCTTCACAATCGAAAGGTTTGAGCTTCTGCCTGCAAACATATGTAAATACTTCCTGTCAAATGAGATGCCTCATTACATTTAATAAGTTACCCCAAAAAACAGGGCCGACATTAAAACAAGGCAGGAGCAAACAGCAGTACAGAAAGAATAAATGAGGAGGGATAAAGCATGCTTATCCAGCTGCAAACTATACTAATGCACGTGACTTTAAAATGCCTGGTTTGCTCCTTTATCCGTTACGAAAATAATTTATCCTTTGCACATATATTGTGTTTTTCATCCAAAGAGCTCATCAATACTAAAAATATTGAGCAACTATGCTCTAGAAGATGACAGACATGCACTGGGGCTCGGAGCCAGGACACGGACCCCAAGCTCCCCACCCCCAGCCCCAACCCTCACCCTTCCCCGACGCCGCTGCCCCGAGCCCATCAACCAAGGGGAAAGAGCCGGGCGCTGCAGCGTCCCGCAGGCACCACCACCAACTCCAACGCCAAGAATTCATCTTCGCTCCAAAATGCGTCACCATGTCGTCGGCAATAGGACCCAAACTCCCTACACCATTCTGGAAATACTATCCTGAATATGAAGAATCCTAATACCACAAATGCAACAAGGAAAACCTTACACTTAAAATACAAATTATTACCTAAATGGCTATGCTGGTTTGAATTAAACTTTTATCAGAGCATTTTTAGAATACCAGTTGACACTGGTATAAGACACTGAATAGATCTAATGCAAATTTACAGGCCAACAGTAGCGGCCCAGTGACAAGCTTTGGACTTTTTCAATTTAAAGTTCTAACTTCTAACTAAACCACGGAAACGTTCATATTTCAAAGCAGAATTCTAATAGTAAGTACACGCATATTTTATAAATCTTGACTATTTAAGCTGCTGAGCAAATACTGTTTCTATAGTTCTGCTACAAAGTACTGTATTTTTCCCTAAAGTGTAATACCTGTTCCTGTATAAATCTTGTCCTATACCATAAATAGCCACATTCTGTTCATTGCATTATCTCTCTTTAAACTGAAATAGAGTGGCAATTTCACGGATCTTTTTCCCAGCTATAATTAAAACATATCAGAAAGATTCACATATAATATAAACATGCTGAGTATTTGGCAAGTCTCATTAGTTTGATGAGACTTCAAAGGTGGCCAATCTGATCGTAAGAGACGCTGCTTTCTCTCTTCTTAGTATATTTAAGAAAGGCAGCATGTCGAAAATCTCCAGTGAACGTTTCTTCACCATACAGCACCACACTGTGCTGAGCTAAATGATGGTACAAGTCACTCTCCAAAAGCAGAACGATTTTTGTGCCTGCCACAGGTTTTCCATACAATCTCTGTTATAAATAACTGGGAACATTGGAGGGGAGGGCAGGGTGAGAGGAAGGATGCGGCATGGGGCCAGTGCTGCCGACAGGGCAGGGGCACTCGTCGCTTCTCCCAGCCCCACAGTGACATTTACAGCCCGTGACTGCAGGCACTCACATCCTGATCTGGGAAAGCTGTACACCATATGCATCTGCAGAGCACCTTTGTTGGCTTTCGTACAGCAGAGAGCAAGCTTCAAAAATCAACTGAGTTTTCGAGAAGGGAGGAAGCGAGCAAGAGTATTAATGCTAAATTAAAAAAAAAAAAAACAATGCACCAAAATGACCTATGCAGTCACAAAAATCTCACTCATTTAATAATCTAAAGGGCAGAATCTACTCAGGTGCCTTGAAAAATATAGTGCTCTCAGCATTTACATGCTCACAAGTCAAGGAGTCTTCCAGCTGGTGACGGGGAACTCAAACTGCATCTCTTTGCACAGTTAAGAATAGACAAAACCTGTTGCAGCTCGATGTATGACATTATTACTGCCTAACTTGAAATCTCTCCCTCTTCTCTTGCCCAAGGTACCCAATCACTAAGTGAATTCTGGAAAATAAAACAATGTTCAATTATGACTTGTGCCCAAAAATGTTCTGCAGATGAAGATGAAAGTTACAGTCACTCCAGAAGTTCAAGATTTTCTCACTTCCACCTTTCAGTTCTTCTGGAGACGAAAAGAGGCAATTAACCTTAGACTTTGGCACAACAGCAACTGGACAGACACAGAGACCTTTCGCTCCCCGAGGACACGCCCGTCAGGCACCATGCCTACTCTGTGGAGGAAGCTCCTACACACGCTAGCTCAAAACCATCCACTGAAGTTGTTCAGCTTCCCTTACCTTAAATGCCAAATGGCGGTTTGAATACATGTTGCAATCAAAGCCTACAGGAACGGGTTTTGCTGCTGGAAACGGGGGCAAAGGGGTGCCCCTGGCCTCCCCACACCACCCAGGTCATTTACAACAGGCTCTGCCAGCGCTGCGGCCACTTCAGAAACAGGCTGCACTGCCTTTCCATGGCAAAGCCACCTCCTTTGTTTGCCCAGGGCGCTTGCCTTAGCGTAAACACTTGCCACGAAGCTTTGGGGCTTGCTGTGGCAGAGGCCACCAAGTGCAACGCCAAAGGCGACAGAGACCCATCAAGGATTAATGTGACTAGCTTCATGTCCTCCATGGATCTGGGCAAGTGCTTATTCGTGACAGAGCTGTGTGTGATGCAACGCCAGATAGCCATGAAACGTGATGAAACAACACATTTTGT